CCCCCCAACACACCACCTTACCGTTCCAAAAAATATTTGTTTTACATTTCATCCCGGAATAAACGTTGTTTATTGGAAACTTCTTCGTCTCCTGTTTTTAACTTCGCAAATCTAAACCAGTACATCCACTCTGTAAAACATGGTTAATTCCATAGACAATACCAGCGGTGGGACTTCTCCCTCCCCCTCCGCCAATGTAGCTGCTAATTGTACTTGAATTGTTTACTGCTGTATTGTTTTACAAGTGCCTGGAGAAAGATGCTTGATATTCCCACCACCAGCAGAACCATCCCAAGAGCCAGCGCCTGGCAGATTTTGGCAAGGGTGTACACAGGCTACAACTACAGCTTGTTAGCTTAAAAAAAAAAAAAAAAAAATTATGAAGGTGATGACGCCTCCGTAATTATAGGTGTTACTTGTTTTAAAGTCAGAATGTTTTCCAAGCTCCTGTAATACCACACCTCCGATGTCCCAGGAGCCGGGACTTGGAGTCCTTTCTACTTTAGTCACTGGTTTATGAGGCTTTGCAGAACACATCACCAGGCTGCACGGCTGGTTCCCGGGCCGCTCGGCGCTCGGGCGTAGGTGCAAAGCCCGTGCGGGTACTCAGCCATTGTTCTACCTTTTACAGCAGGCATGAAAAGCGGAGGCATTGCACTATATACTGCCCCAAAACGCTGGTGGATGTGTTAGAGAGAAACGGGCAGCCTGGGATTACGATTTTCTGACTTTGTTTCAAGTAAGTCCAACATTCTCACGGCACGTCGGAGGAGGAGAGAACCTGCGAGTTCCCTGGTGCTGAGCTCAGGGCAAAGCCCCTTTGGGGGGAGTTGGTGGTCGCCGCTCTCCGCGTTCCTTCCATTTGCGTTTAGAGCCGGGGCAAGTCCCACCAGTCTGGCAATAGATGCCCTTCAAAGAGGCAGAAGATGCAGCTCTGCACACAGTATGCATGCAAGGTGAACACCACCGGACATTTCTTTTGCCCGGATAGAATCATAGAATCGCTTTGGTTGGAAAAGACCTTTAAGATCATCGAGTCCAACCGTTAACCTAACCCTGCCATCCCACCACTAAACCCTGTCCCTAAGCACCTCATCTATCCTTCTTTTAAATACCTCCAAGGATGGGGACTCTACCACCTCCCTGGGCAGCCCCTTCCAGAGCCTGACAGCCCTTTCGGTGAAGAAGTTTTTCCTAATATCTAACCTAAACCTGCCCTGGCGCAGCTTCAAACCATTCCCCCTCGTCCTATCATCTGTTACCAGGGAGAAGAGGCTGACCCCCACCTCCCTACAGCCCCCTTTCAGGTAG